ACCTTTAGATAGCGATATGTATGTATGTTGGTATACAAATATAAAAATTTAACAATAAAATCATGATAAAAAAACAACAAAAATAACAACAACAACAACTCAATGGGGCACTTCTTTTTAAATAAATTTTTTGTTGAAATTTATTTAATTGAATACAAATTTTTTCTTAGCCGAATTTTTTGTAGTTTATTTAACAATAACTGCCAGTAACAAATAATCTAAAGTCAGACATTTAACATATTTACTTTTTGTATTTTATATTTATTCGTGTATTAAATTTTTGTTTACCAGTTTCAAAGCAAGTTTTACCCAACGCGGTTTGCTGAGTAGTTGGCAGCACTTTAATCTTGCACTAGGTCAGCATTTTCTTTTTGCTCTTCGAAAATTAATCAAAGCCGGCACTGTGTTTTTGGAAGTCGACGCGGAGATCCCTATGGCTGCGTCCACTGAACCTCCGCGAAAAAATAAGGGTTTTAGAGAGCACAATATTGTTGTGAGTCTAGAAAGGAAGCCATAGATATTTCAACTTTTGTGCTGTTGCAAAAAAATTCCGATAAAAACATGACATGGAGCCAACAAAAACTAAAAAGAACAAGAAGTTATAATTTTGGCGACAGACAGGACGCTATTAAAGCTGTAGAACTCTGCCCGGCTACCCCAAAAAATAGGGCGCATGAAACACTTTTTGTGCTACTGACCGAGACCGATAGGACTGAGCAAAAGTTATCTTCAAAAACACTTTCTTTTACTTTCTGGAACTTGGTCGGCATAGACTTAAATGACGCCATAACGGCCCTTTGGGTCGAAGTCTATCTCTATAATGATCTGAATTAATAAAGCTACAGCCCCACCTAACTTAAAGGCAGAATTGAATGCAAAGATCGTCATAGCATTGTTATGTCGTACAAGATGAAAGGGTTGCCACCGGGGGAAGTCCTCTCTTTCTTGCTTTGGACCGCTAGTTGAATGTGGATTCAATGTAGTTGACTCCAAATACAACCTAGTAAACATACTACTGGGCAGTATATAAGCGCAGGTCTAAACTGAAGTGGTAACAAACTGGTGAGCCAAGAATAGCTTTGAGTTGGCTAAGGTCGGATCATCTCTTGATGTATCTGAAGCAGAGACAATAAACCGCCAACGTTCATCGAAAGGGAACTGCATTTGCAATTCAGAAGTATGGCTGATACATTTTGGAAAATCCATTAAACCTGCAAAACTGTGAGGAATAAATGGCCGCTATATAACAAAACAAAGACAGAGTAGCTGCAAAAGAAGTCGAGAAAATATATAGTTAAGTTAACTGCAACGGTAAGTGGTCACTGGCCCATTGGCGAACATGCAACCTAAATGGGCCTCCCGTACAACACACGCCACCGACAAATCTAAGTGGTTTGAGGAAACTGACGAATCATAAAAGCAGATAATAGTGCTAATTGGATCCTAGGCATTTGCCATGTTTCTACCAATTAACTATCCGTGTTTCTACACTATGACCAGACCAAGGGTCAAGGAATCATGCTCCACAAGGGATTTATTATTAGTTGTAGCTTCGACCTTGAGAAATATTTCTATTAAGGACATAATAGTTTTACCACATCAGCGTCTTTTCCATTAAGTCGTAGGACTTCATGACCGCAAATATTACGAAGAACTGCCACACAATGTCAAATATGCTTACTAAAGTTTATGTTTTCAGTCCACAGAGCAATAGTAATTTGCTAAGCTAGGTAACACCACAAGAGACTACGGAAATTTGCTTTAGGAGGAGATTCTTAGTCGAAATTATGTACTGAAAGCTCGAGGCGTACAGGTTCCCTAACCCTAATTCCAGATCAAGGTTGCATAACAGTAAAGATTCTGACATGTTGATGTAGGCGTGGATGCTCCGATGTGTACCTGCTTAAGCCAATCTGTGTCAGCTTAAGTTTTTGACAGCCAAACAGCCATGTATGCTTTGTCCAATGAGTGGATCCACTTCTCTTCGCAGCAAAACCACCATAACGCTGTGCGATTTCCAGGCCACTGTGGGATCTGGCATTTACGACACCAGCCCCACACTTACCTCTCTTCCTCTACCGGGGTGCTTTAGCATCTCGTGAGGCAATCGGAAGTGAGGGTCGAGAATTTTTCTTCAAGGTTTAGAATGAAATTTCAGGTGGCCGTGGCCTCACTCGCTTCCAAATTTTTAACTGCTTAATTAACTAACTAAGTAAAGAGTACACTAACTAACTGACTAAATATTTAGATAGCTAAATATTTAACTAACCAGCTAAGTAGCTAATTAACTAACTTAATAACGTAGTAGTCTTTAATAAGTATAATCATTTTAGCACGTTTCCATTTTTTAGAACACCCTTTATTTGAAGTTTTTTTCTCATAATGTTTTTATGTTTTCATTTAGTTCTTCTCTCTTTTAGTTATCATTGCTTCCATTGGTTTCCTACAAATTTAATTTGCACGTGACGTGACGGTTATGTGGGGATCTTTTTTTACCACTATTGTTTATCGTAATTGTTATTTTCTCTGTACGTATTTGGTTTTTGCACCGAATATAACTCTTCTATCGTGAAACTCAATAACCACCCTATGCCAGTTAGCACAGTCGAATTGAAATAACATTTGAATTGAGAAATAAAAAAGGTTATTGGAGAAAAAGTTTGAAAACAAAGAGCAGGCAAAAAAATTTCACCAAAAAGGACAATTCATAAAACCAACAATGCTGTCAGATAACGGTTAAAACTACATATATATGGACACACAGTTATGCAACAAACCCATGGAACACAGGTTTCATTTGTGTTTTATTTTTAACAACTATTTGCCCAAGCATAGTACGAGGATGACTAGCAGTTTATGGCGAGAAGAGTATAAAGTTATTATAGCTACCAAAAGTAGCCAAAAAAGTAAATAATACATAATAACAACAAAAAAAATTTATGAAAAGCATAAAAGCTATACGCTGCCAACTGACCATTTGCCAAATGGCACAAAGGTAAATGGCATCGTGAAGCTGCAGTTGCCGCTACTAGTGGATGACAGGGCTACAGTGAGCCACCGAGAGCAAGTTGCGTCACCTTTCGCCCACCTGCGTCATTATTATTTTGTATTTCGACAATTTGCCGTGCGTTGCCAATTCGTTGGGCGCCACTTTTTTGCGAGACTATTTTTTTGCAGGCCATTTTGCTTTTGTAACGCCACTTACTATTTAGTTGCTTTTGCTTTTTACTTTTGTGTTTGCGTTTTTTCCCACTGCACAAACTTTTTAAAACTAACACAGAAAAAAAAGTAGCAAAAATTACGCACTGCATTCATTGCTGTAACTGTCAGCCACCACACTGTAATTGTATTTACGCTTCGTTGCAGCGCCAAAAAGTATGCAATGCTGACTGTGTTTATTTTTTATTTGTAGTAATTGTTATGCAATTTTTTTCTTTTTATGACAAGCATTGTATACATTTTGTTTTTTTTTTTGCCACACGTAAGTTGCAACAATTATAACTCAATCATAATTCTTGTTGAGTTGTTGAAAACTAATGGAAATTTTTTATTTGGGAAGGCTTTTGTTGGCGGGTGATTTTCGATGGGCTGGGGGTTTTTAGTAGAGATTGTTTTGGCGTGGTTGTGAATTGCAAGCATGGCTTTCAGATATGTTTTTTGGGTTATGAAAAGTGTATAAACGCCGTAAAGTATGCAATAAAATATTCAGTTTATGAAAAAGGTTAAAAAAGAAAAAGCCCTTATTTGCAAAATAGTAGACGTGTGCGATCGGAAGTAAGAACAATGAAATTATTGAAATTTTTGTTTGAAAATGTAAAATAAGAAACAGGTGCGCTGAATTGTATAAAATGAAGGTCTACAGCTGAAAAAATTGTTATTCGAGCTAAAAACTTAAAAACTTACCCTCCGAAGCTGGAATATGTGACGCTGAATAGTAACTACTAGCGCTGAATTGTAGTTAGTGCATGCAAGTTACAAAATCAACAGTTTTTGAAACAAACGGCGTGCAACTAACAGGAAGAAAAGCCTAATACAAGTGCATAATTAGGCGTAGAGGCAGTAAATTACCAAAAATAAACTGTAAAAATGGAGTTTCGTATCTAAAAAATTCTTATCAAATATAAGTTCATGGAAAATTTCCATCGAAAAATAAAAATTATACCACTGAATTGCACTTAATAACGCCGAGTTGTAAAAAAATGCAGCTAAATTGCAAAAACTGAGTCATTGTGGAAAATTTATTGGACAAAATAGGGAATAAAGCCAGGAAACTGCGCTGAATTAAGCACAATGGCCTTAAACACAAAATGTAAATGCTTAGTTTCTCTCCAGGGACTAGAGTTTGCCTTATGTTTCATCGAAAGTTAGGGCTGAATTGATTATAAGTGCGCTGAATTGATTTTTTATTTATTTTCAGCTGAATACACACAAAAAATTATAATCCCAGAAGTTCAAGCAGAGGAATAATCTACTTTAACGTTGCTCATATAAGCATACTGTAGAGTTAAGTAAAAGCGTAAAAGTTTTATGTAAAAGAAAGTATAAAGTTTTTCAGGCAAGCGCTGAATTGAACTAAAAACAGCTGATTTGCACTAGTTTAGTGATGGTAACACTTGAAATATTATTCTTGGGAAATAGACGCTTACTCTGCGAGCGCTGAATTGGTTCAAAAATTGCTGAATTAAAGATTTTGTTACTCCAAAAAAAGAGCAGAGGGTTGCGAGAGAGTTTAACAAATTGAGATGCTGAATTTTAGTGTTCTAGTGCTGAATACTGGTTACTTAAATTTTAATAGATACTGAATACAAACAAAACTATTAAGTAGGATCGTCTGTTGATTTTTAGATCTGTCATTATAAATAGTTTTGTGATGAACAGCTGAAGCTGTGCAAAGCACTTCTGTACTATTATTTAAAATTCAGCAGAATTGCTTTCTAGATTCAACTCAATGAGACCATCGTTTTTTATTCATTCCTCTTTATATAAATTTTTCAACTCACCTGCCCATTTTTGTACCACGTGCTCGACGCTATATCCAAATCCACTTCGCACATCAATCGTATCTCTGAATGCTGCTCCGCATACACGACAGACATTTCCTCATCTTCATAGGGATTTGGCAACACCGGGCGCAGTGGCAACACTCGCGGTTCCATCGGCTCATCGTGTGAGTAATCTTCGCTTTTGTCATCAACAGTCGCCATGGCGGCCAAATCGCGTTCACGATCGGTGCCACTATCAAA